TGTGAGGCTTTGGGGGACATTTTAGATCTAAACCATAACTCTTTAATGAAAATTCACTCAGGTCCAGTGAGGACAAGTGAATGTGCCCAGGGTGCTGCATACATAAGGAACAGGAAGAGTAAAACTCTTGGGATAAACGGCCTGGTTCATTTCCTGTGTCCACCGATGATCAACTGTATAATTTCAGCCAAGTTACTTAAGCTTTCAAACTGTCAAATGCCCAGTCTGTAGAATGGGGATAAGTATCTATTCCTCATGAGTCGTAAGAATTCAAAGAGATTATGAATTTAAGAGTTTAGGAACCACCGGGTGTGGAGGTGCATGCCTGTAATTCCAGCACTTAGAAGGCTGAGGCAGGAGGATCATTGCGAGTTCGAGACCAGCCTGGGCTACAAAGTGAGCTCAAGGCCAGCCTGAACTGCATAGCAAGACCCTGTCTCAAAAAGACAAAAAAAGAACAAAAATAGATTAAAAAAAAAACCAAAAAAAAGAGTTTAGGACAGTGCTTGGCACATCAAGTATGGAAACACTGATAAGCAGTATATTACAGATGACTTGTAGAATAATTTGGGGGGAATACTGGGAATTGAACCCAGAGCCTTCACACTAAGCTATACCCCTAGACCCCTTTTTCATTTTTTTAAAATTTTGAGATAGGCTTTTGCCATGCTGTTAAATTGCCTAGGCTGGGCTGGAACATGCAGTCCTCCTGTTTGAGACTCCCAGAGTACTAGGATTACAGGACTGTGCCACCAGGCCCAACAGGAATAATTTACTGATAATTACCAGTTCTGAATAATTGATGTTTTTAAATATATGAAAAATTCTATTTTGCTTACTATCTCTCTTAAACTTTCAATTAGAAAAGGCTATGAAAGTGGCTTTAAAAATGTTGTTTCTTTCAAATAAATAAAACAATCCACTTGCATAATCCAAGAAATTCTATACCTAAGTAGGCTTGAAGAGAAAACCTATAACAACAGGCAAGATATTATAGGTTTCAGATGTTCTTCTGTCTTGAAAGGAATTTATTAACCTATAATACACTGAAAGAACATAAAGGTTCTTTAGAAATATCATTTCCTTTTTTCAGAAGACAAATGAAAACCATCTCTTTCATGGGGCTCTTCTTTTCTTCAGTTTTTTCTATACCCTTTTCACAATCCTTTTTGAGACCTTCTGGCTATAACACAGCCAAGCATTAGCTGTCCCAGTGGTGGGGCAAAAGACTGAGGGCAAAGTGAATATTCTGTACTACTTCTGTAATCCCAGGTAGTTCAGGCTGGTCACTGACAAGAGCAACTGCAAAAGTGTCTGGAGAACAGTACTTTTGTAGTCTACAACCTGGGCAGAGCTGGTATTGTCTCTGAAAGACAGTGACAGGCAATCTGAAGATGCCTGAATTGATCATGACATACTCATTGAGCAGTTATTTATTCTGTACCATTAGTTTCCAAAAGCAGTGAAAATCATTTATATCATGGTAAACTGATATACAGCATTAAGTCAAGGGCTTGAAAAGTACCAGAGTTATTAAATTATTTGGCCAAGCACAAGAATTTTTTAATTTCTTCAAAACTCATGATCCTACTAACAGTGCTACCTTACAATAATAATGTGAGGTTAAAACCTTGGACTCAAGAGCCTTAACTGTCTAGTCTGAACTCTACCCCGTACCAGCTGAATAATCTCAGACCAGTTACTTAACTTCTCAGTGGTGGTTTCCTAATCTACAAAGTGGAAATAAGCCTCACAAAATTATTGTGAGGACTATATGAATCCATAAGTACAATGTTAAAACAGGGCCTGAAACAATATACTGTTAATAGTATGAGCTGCTTTCATTGGCATTATAAGAACTATTAGAGTTTTCACCATATCTCATTGTACTCAATTCCAGGCATGAAAAAATACATACTCCAAACTAAGAAAAGTACTTTGGATTTGATCTGTTATACTCTCTTATAATCTGGTTTCATAAAAATGTCCACATTTTAGGGGACTGGGGATTTAGCTCAGCGGCACAGCACCTGCCCTGCAAGCACAAGGTTGTGAGTTCAATCCCCGGTACCAGAGAATAAATAAATAAACAAATAAATAAATAAAAATTAAAATGTCCACATTTTGACAAGTAAAAAGGAAGAGATACACTGGGTCTCATTATAATTCTCTAGTATTTCATTTTTGGAGTGCCACAAACAATGAAACATTATAAAATTTTTTTCTCTTCAAATTCTTGTTCTTTGAATTTTTCTAGGTAACATACATGAATTTCATGCAAAAAGTAAAAAAAAAAAAAATTGCAACCGTTGACATAAATGGCTTAAAGCTTCAAGAAAATAGCTATTTAAACTCTGGGTCTGGTTTTCTACTTAGTTTTCTGAAAGGATTTATTGAAGACTCCTAATCGGCGGGAACAGTTCTGCTGCTCACCTTTCAGCAGAGTAATTCTACATGAGTACAGTGGATGTCCATTTGGTTTCAGTTGTTGAATACACAAAGAGTTCATTGTACAGCAAATGGCAGTGGCTCTGGATGATCTAAAGGCATATTGTTTTTGCTCCTTGATTTTCTGTTCTACTTTTAACTCTGTGCTGATTACATTTCCTCTCCTTCACAACACCTCTCAATTTATTGTCAATATCCAAAAAAGTTAGTCTCTATTAAGTTTTCTAAAACATGATACCTTATATTCAAGTCAATCTTCTGTCTTAGTCTGCTCTGCCTGCCATAACAAATACCAACAGGCTGGATGGTCTGAACAACAGAAAATTATTTTCTGATAGTTCTGGAGTCTGAAATCCAAAATCAAGGTGTGGGCTGACCTGGTTCCTAGTTAGGGTCCTCTTTCTGGTTTGAAGATGGCTATATCTCAGATGGTAGACAGAGAGGTCTCATGTCTACTCTTCTTATAAGGACACCAGTGTTAACCATTTAGGATCCCACCTTTATGACCTCACTTAACCTTGGCTACTCCTTCAAAGACCATGGCTCCAATACAGTTGCACTGGAAGTTAGTGCTCCCACATTCAAATCTGAGGTTATACAAACATTCAGTTCATGAAAGTCTTCTAAATGCTCAAATGTAAAACTCAAATTCAAATCCATAATGTTTCTACTTACATTAAATTTTCTTCCATTCATACATGTAAAAGCATCAGGTAAAATACATTTAGTTTTTAATTCAAACCAAAAAATTTTATATGCATAACTTAGTTTTCAAGTTCATTGACACAAGATAATAAAAGCTCAAAACTTTACCTGCCTCTTTGTTAGACTAAACAGATCTACTTTTTTCTAAGATCTGACATTATGTAGCACATAGCAAAAGTACTTTAGAAATGCTTCGGTTTGATGGGACTGCATAAAAGAATTTTTAAATACACTGTGGGTATTGATCTAATTTCTCTTTGATTTTCTAGGATGTGGGTGTCACGTGGTTCAGAGAATCATACCAGTAGCAGCCATTACTCAGAAAATTCAATGAGTTCTAAACTGTCCTTAGAAAGATAAGGCTGAAAAGCTGCAAGAACTCCCAAGCTGACACTTGACAGATGTGAGGGATGATACCCAGGGAGGGTAAATGACCCACTGCTCTGTTGGTACCAGAGTAATACTAGAGAGAACACAGGACTCCTAGCTACAGACCAGGGTCTCAGTGACCACAGCTCCACATGCCATCAAGCTAGAGCACCCTAACTCCCAAGCAGACAGGCGGCCTCCCATACCCTGGAAAATACCATGTGCCGGGTCTCGCAGCAACACTGAAGACCACAGCTTTGGTCTCACTGACGCCCTGACTCTTAGCACCCAAAACAAGGGTGCCTGCTTCTCCCATGTCTCTCTGCTTCTTCCAGTCTCTCAGCTTCTCCCAGTCTCTTAGCTTCCTTTCTGTTTTTCTCCCAAATGATGAACCCTTCAAGCTAATGCATTCCTCTCTCCCACAAAGCTCCTCCAGGGGTTAAAAATAGAAACATACTAGAAATCCCTCTTCTACTCCTATCTGGTCCTCAGTCTGCTCCCTCAAACCACAAGCCATGAAACGAAAACCAACCTTAGGTTCTCACAGGAGTGGCTTCACGATAAGACTGAAAAGTAAAACCTGCAAATACTGAATTAGAGTGAGGCAAAAAGATCCCCTGGGACTTGGGTTGGTTTTATTAGTTTCTCTAAAACGTCCTCACATGTGTAGGCATGAATTTTAGCGGCACATTTTTTAGGCCATTCAATAGTACTCACCACTTTTATAAGGGAACTTCTAAATCTATCTGGCATGTCTAAATCTGCTCAAGGCTATACCTGCAGAAGTAGGGGATGTTCCCTACAGAGTGCTCTCAGTACTGGAATGGCTAGGAGGCTTTATTGGTTTTTAGTCTCATGAAACAAGGATGACTTTTCCATTTCCTGTTATGATTCATAACAAAGAAATCTGTACATCTGCCAAAGTTAGCAAGACACTTAATAGCTGCTAGTGAAGCTCTCAGATTTCACCACCCTAACACGACTTTAAAACACAAGCCAACCAAAAAGTCCATTTTAGAAAAATTTAACTTTTTAGTTACCCTCACATTCCCATAAATATATATCTTTCAGTAAAATTCAAAAAAATATTAATCTTTTCACATGCGGTGAAGACATTATGTATCTCCTACGTACCAGTCTAACACTGAAGTATTGTTAAGCCTGTAAGCATCTGTAAAAAAAATTAATGAAATGATTCATGTTTATAACAGCTATCAATTATGTGTGCAACCTTCTTGCTTATGAATTCATGCATGTAAATATGTTTCTAGTTAGCTTCTGCACTGCTCAAAAATAAGGGCTATGTTGTCTTCTTTTTCTATCTTCCCTGCATAGGATGCTGGACCACAAAATGCTACATGTTTTGGTGACAGAATGCATTAGTCCTATAGTCAAAACTCTTTCTTTCTGCTAACAAGCTTAATTTTACAAATAATTCATAAGCTACCATGAACACAGTGGAACTATTTTTTTCTTACCAGAGCTGGACACACGCCTGATCCTCTGAGGAGATATGGTTCGATCAGAACTGAGGTTTCTACTGTCACTGTTCCGCCTCAGACAGGAAACAATAGGCCCCACTTTGGCTTTTGGACATGGTGTTTTCCGCAAACTACAAGAGTCAGGCTTGGATGTATTCCTACCTGAGGCAGTGGTAGCTTCTGAAGAGGAATCCTATAAAGAAAACATATTTTCAGTCCAGATAATACTTTCCCCACATTATTTTCCTTGTGGCGCTAAGTATGTGAAAGAAACAATTTCCAAGTAGATATGGAAGATAAACATTTAATTTTCATTTTTGATTAGAAGCTGCTACGGTTTGTGTCTAGATGTCCCCCCAAAGCCTCATGTAGTCTTAGGCTTTTTTAGAGGTGAGTGAATCTAGAGTTTGTGAGTGATTCAAGGTTCAATGCCAGGATTAAGGGTGTGAGTGCTACACCTGCCCTAGAGCAGGTAGCCTAGATACAATATAAGGGACAGAAAGAGGTTTGTCTCTCCCCTCCCTCCTCTCTTGTTGCTTTTGGTATCTTCCGATACCATGAATAGTTGCCACACTGCCTTGGAGCCAGCTAATTAAGGATTGAAACCTCTACAAACCGAGCTAAATAAGCCCTTTCCCCTTTAACTTTGGGTGCCCAGTATTTTGTCTCAGCAACAGGATAAGCAATAACACAAAAGCAATTAAAACTCATCACAGCGATTCTTCAGTCCATCCTTTGTATACATAAGTGAGGCTGTTCTCAAGGTGGCTCGTGTCATGAGTTGATTCAAGGCACAGTGTTCAGTGCTGTCCTCAGGGCTGCAGCATCTAGTGTCCAACAGAGCTCTCTCCTGGCTTTCCTCCTAGCTGTCTGCCTATTGCTTCTCTGGGTCCTGCTCTTCTATATCTTCAAGTACTTGTTTTACCGGGGCCCAGACTTGGTTCTATTCTTTCCTACCATGTACTCTTCCTGCATGATCTTGTTTGCTGCCTCAGCTGCCACATGTCCAAGCCAACACTCTCGCCTCCCCGTAAGGAGCTTCTGTGTACACCACCCCATGCTACATGTTTTGGTGACAGAATGCATTAGTCCTATAGTCAAAACTCTTTCTTTCTGCTAACAAGCTTAATTTTACAAATAATTCATAAGCTACCATGAACACAGTGGAACTATTTTTTTCTTACCAGAGCTGGACACACGCCTGATCAGGTGTCTCCTACTTCAAATGACAACAATAGCGCTGTTACTGCTGGTGTTGACTAACACAGAGCCTTCACACCACGCAAAATACAATTCTAAATGCTATGTACATCTATTGACTCATTTAATCCTCATCATAACCCTATGCTATTGATATCAGGTGTGGTGGCATGTGACTACAACCCCAGCACTATGGAAAGCTGAGGCAGGACGATTACAAGTTCAAACACAACATGGCTAACTTGGTGACTTAGCAAGGTTGTTTCGAAACAAAAATAAAGGACTTGGGATGCAGCTCAGTGTTAAAGCTGTGAGTTCAATTCTTAGTAATCCTCCAAATAGTATGAGGTTGATAATTTATCATACCACACTGTACAAAAGAATATGAAATAGTTTCTAAAATTAAACTTATTTTAACTATCCATCTCAGAGTTTACTTCTTCTCATATTCACCTCAACATACCCAGGCATGTTCCTTAAACAATGAAAGGTACTTCTACCTGCTTCCTCTTACCTCTTATACTTCTCTTTTCAATCTTAGTATAAGCCAGCATCATATCCCAGCAGGATTCCCAAAACCACATCTTCTGCATCTCTCTAGTCTCACCAGCTTTCAATTAATTTTCTACTCCCCTGCCACTGCAACCTCTCTAAGATTCAAATAGGGTTCAACAGCTTTCCTCTGCCATCCAGATAAAAATCAATCTTTGTAAGTCATATCCAATCCCTTCTGTATGTGGCAGACCCTGACACCCTCTTCAGCTTGTTTCTTACTGCTCATGGTTCTATAGCTCCAGCTCCCATAATACCCACTATCTAGGGTCCTCTAAATCAGAGTATAGAGTATCTTTTCACATCTCATCCATCCATGCATGCATGTCTGTGTATATATGTATGTGGATGTATGTATTTTCTCTACCCAGAATATATGCCCTGTAAGTTCTGGAGAGTGACGGTCTCCCTGCCCCAGAACATCTTCATTTTTCCCATTACCATCACTCTCTCTCCTTCCTGCAACACACAGTCTCTTTCTCTTCTTAGAGAGGCAGAATGTCTGTGTCACATTTTCTCCCCTCTGCACTCAGCTCCACTCCTGGCCCAGAGGACAGGCACCCAAGGACAGTCTGCAAGGGTTGAAAATATATACCAGTTCCTGCTGCCAAAAATAGAGCTAAGGAGTGCACAGCCTTGCCAAAAGTTTCTAAAACTCAGAAAACTAGTTTCTTCAATGCTATTTCCAAAAATATATGCATGTTTTAAGAAATTTTTTTATTCTTTAAATGAGTTTGGCTAGTCCTTCTAAGTATCAGATGCTATAGGAAACACATTGCTTTTACACTAAACACAAATAAAAGGAATTTGTTTTGTACAAAAATGAATATATTAGGGCTGCAAGAGACCTTAGACATCCAATAGTCCAATCTTTTTACCTTTGGGTATAGAAAAATCACTTGCCCAAAGTCCCAAGAGCTGGTCAGGGGTAAAAAAAAAATTCCTGCTCACAGAAGAGAGCTCCAACTTCCAGAGCAACCTCCTCAACAGCAAGAGACTGAGTTATTTTTATGTTGATATGTTTACCAGCACTGTCTAGACACCTCTAAAATGTAGATCAATATATTTAAAAGTTTATAGAAACTTTCTTTAGAAAAATAAAATATAACCTTATTATATCAGGTTATTAATGTCAAACTAAATATGCTAAAGTATTAATTTACTCTTTCAACGTATTACAAAAAAAAAAACATTGACTCTCAATACAAAATACTGAAGTGAGGATTTTTTTCAATACGCAGATTTGTTACAATGTGACCTACTATGATTCTACTATGTACTGACCAACAAGAATTAACACCTGAAAGCCAATTTGCTATTATTGGCTATTAACGGGTACCTAACTGTGAAACCTCTGTTTGCTCCACCACCCCCTGAAGCATGCAAAAGTTTCACTTACCAGAAACAGAGAACCGTATTCAAAGCTCTCATTCATAACTTCCTTTTTCAGCTCTTGTTTTTCCATAGGTATCTCGTTTTCTTTTTCACCCTTCCTTTCGGGGCGGGTCCTATCGATGTGAGAAGTATACGTCATTCCCAAACATTCCGTACTTTCCATTTTAACAGGCAGTATGCCTTTGATCTTCTGAAAAAATGCATCTACAGACTCAGTCTCACATACTGGATGAGAACTTGTTTTGTCAACATCTTCCTGATTCGATTTCATGGCAGATGTTGTTCTTGGAACCCTGTGTGAGGCATTTTTAGAATGAGTTGTAACATGCACAGCCTGGCCAGTGATGAGTTTATTAAACTGCTGCTTGTGTGTCTTGTTAATTAGGATTTCTGCTTTTGTGTCTGCATTCAAGTCAGATCTTGGTGTTTTGCTCAAAACTGTCAACTGCCTTGAGGAAGACACTGATGAGGAGGATGGGGCAGCACTGGTCAACTGAGGCTTGGGTGTGACCTTAGATAAAGCAGGTTCTTTGGGCTGCAACACTGGTCTAGACATAACTTTCGCTTTGACATTCTTGAAGTTTGGTCTTGGGTAACTTATAATTTCAGCTTTTCTAAACTTGCTGCCTACAGGGGCATTTGTTTTATTTGCTGATTTTCCTAGACTAGGCTTAGCTAAGCTCATAGGTGTCCCCCTCAAGTTGAGTACATTTTTAAGCTCTTGATTATTCTTTTCCACTTTATTACAGCTCTTGGTCAGCTTGATCGGTGAAAATGCAAAGCTTACACCTCTGGGATCTAGGATGGGTGTTGACACACAAGCTCTGTTATTTGCGCTCATAATCATTTCATTTGCATCCCAATTCATTTCAAATAATGAAACTGTCTTTTGTCCTGGTGAGCAACTTGGTGTCAGTTCTACGGTACTATTTTGGGTTTCCAAATCCTTCTCCTTAGAAGCAATTTTTGGATATTCAGCCACAGTGACTTCATGCTCTGAGTCCAGCACTTTGGCTTTACTTTTTTCAAAAGCTGGCACCAGTAAAGGGCATTCATCATCAATGAGACAATTGGACACTGTCTCTCTTAGATTTTGGCCCATTTCCTTTTGACCATATGAGCTTTGTGAATGTATTTCACTATTCGGTTCGTCTTTAGATAAACAATAGAGCTCTTGTAACACAGACCCTTTGGGGACTTCCATGTCATCAGAAACTGATGTTAGAGCTTGTATCTCTTTTTCTCCAACTAGTCTTTGCTGTGATCCATCTGTGTACTCACTGGTGACCTTTCCTGAAGAATAATGACATTGATTTCCACTATCTAGAGCATCAGTATGCATTACATCATCAGAAAATGCTGTGTACATTGTGTCGTGTGTCTCTGATGCTGTGGCTTGAGGGTTTTCAAAGTTTTCTCTATTATAACTAATTTCTCTCACATGCATCTTATCAGAATCGGATGATTTCCAGGTGGAACAGGATAAAGGTGTATTTCCACTTCTCACACTGGGAGGTTTTAGATCACCACAGGTATGCAAAGACTGACTGTTTTCAAAGACATGATGTGTCATAAAGGTGCAGTTTACTTTGTCCACTTTCAGGTCAAATGTCTGGTTTAACTCCAAGGTAGCAGGAGAGTCTCTATAGTTCAAATCAGCATTAGGCTTCCACACAAAAGGCAGAGAAGGCTCAACATTCTGGTCCTGAGCTGCTTCCAGGGAATGGCAATTGCTATGCAAATACTCAGGCTCCTCAGTATTTACAAATGCAGAAGACTGACATGCAGGGTCTTTATGCATCTCTAACATCTGCTGACTAATGAAATCACTTGAAGACTTTTGGTGATCCAGTACTTCAACACACTGAGGGTTCAAAGAAATACTTTCATCACTGTCTACAGCAAGGTCCACTTCATAATCAATGACCATGTTATCTGGGTCAGTAGAACTCCAGTTCACATGACTGGTGGAGAAGTTTTGTGTAGATGGTGATGTTTGGTTGTATGCATATGTGTTTCCATTTTTATCACTGATAAATAAGGAATGTGATTCATCTTCTGTTTTATCATCTAAATTATCATCATTCATTCTGAATATTAACCTTAAACCTCTGCCATTTTATTTCTTTAATTCCTTTCAAACAAGAGGGAAGGAAAAATTGTCTGTCTGTTAGCTTTTGCAGCACAGTTGAAAATTTTTTAGTCTAAGATGGCTTGAAGGTGAAATGATTTGTTGTTCCCTGGAAGAAATAAAATGTTTAACTCAGTATATATTAAAAAAAGTAATACGTCACCCCTTGACTAATTCTGATTACTTTCTTTTCATATTTAGAACCCACAACAGTTACATAGGTAGGCAACTAACCATTGTTAGCTAATCACCATTCCCTTTCAAAAACACTTTTTAAGGGATGGAGACAAAATAGAAGGTGGAGACAAAAGTTCCTGTGACTGACTTCATAACTGATGTCTCCTCCCTACTGCCAGGCACTTTATGTCAAAAGATAAAAAGAAGCTAAAGTGCGCAATAAGTCTTCCTTCCTACTGGTGGACAGAGAGGTCATTCATAATTTGCCTAAGACTGTCCCAACACATGTTTGTTGTTTCCACATAATTCATAATAGTATCCTTTTCATTCTCAGAAGGGCCCTTACTATGTCCAAGAAGAGTGATTATGAGGGAAACCCTCCGGGTCCATCAAATGAGCTAAAGATCAAGGCATGTTTAGGGAATTAGCATTTCTCTTTCCCATATTCATTCCTATCTTAAACATATGCCATTTCTAAATTGAAGGGGGAAAGTTGATACTTAAAAGTTTACAGTGTCTCAAAATGTTAAACAGAGAAAGTTATTACATGCTATATACTGAACTGTGTCTGCTCAAGATCCATACATTAAAACCCAACCCCACAATATGAGACAATATCGACGAAATGACCCCTAGGAAATGATTACAGTTAATCATGAAGGTGGAGCCCTTATCCAACAGAACTGGTGCCCTTATGATAAGGGACATTGGAAGTCTACCTAATCCCCATGTTGGACACAGCAAAAAGGCAACTATTGATGAAGCAGAAAACACTCACAGAAAAGCACGAGGCATGGTATTGCAAATCTGTAATCCCACCTAGTAGGGATGCTGGGGCAAGCACACCTCAAGTCTGAGGATAGCCTAGGCAATTTAGCCAGATCTTGTCTAAAAATAAAATTTTAGAAAGGGACAGGGACTCCACCAACTCAGCAGTAGGGCACTTGTCTGACACGCATCCAGGTGTTGGGTTCAACCCCTAGCACCAAGGGAGAAGAAAACAGCAAACTTGAACCAAAACTTGACCTTAGTCTTTCCAGCCTCCAGAAAATAAATTTCCTTTGACAGTCTAAGACATACTGTTACAGCAGCCCAATAAATCCAAATTATCATAAGACCTAGCAGTTCTAGATCTAAGTATCTACCAAAGAGAAATGAAAATATATGTTCACACAAAAACTTACAAATACACATGATTCTCAATATATATACTTTCAATGCTAGCCAAAGGTCAGCCTGGGCTACATAGTGAAACTCTCTCAAAAAAATAGGATTGCCATGAGTTCAAGGCCAGACTGCACTACATAGTGAAACTCTCTCAAAAAAAAAAAAGTCCTATATATATCACATACATTTACTTGAACTGATTTTGTCATTCTAGTATTCAATGGAATTCAAATGTCACAGTGCTGTTTGAATAAAAGATCCGAAGGGAACAAATGATACTCTGTGTGTAACGCAAGATAACAGTAAATCTCACTTTTCCATTTTGCAATCTTTTCTCTGCATTCAAACTTCAATGACCTGAATAAAACCAGCAGAATTGGAACTATGAAAAAAACTGAAAGGCTTGGTATCTTCACTAAGAATACTTTTTGTATTTCTGGCTATGCATCTTGAAACCAGACTTTAATGGGGTAAAGAAAGGCGATAGGGTTTATCTGAACAGCATGTGTGTCACGCACACACATGCATGTACACACACACTCAGAAATTCTCAATCCTAAATAAAGGCTGTATGATTTATAGTGATGAAAGTATAAATTAGCCAACTCTTCACCAGGTGACTTTAGTTAAAAGGAACCACTGAAGTTAATGATTTATTGGTGAGGATCTTTGTAAATGCTTTAATCATCTGGTATAAAAATGAATTCAAGCTAAATGTCTAAATCCAAAGCACATTTATTCATGAGGTATAATTTAGTTCATGAGGTATAATTTCAAAAGAAGTATGTTATACCCTTCTGCTTCCATAAAGGCCAAAACTCATTTAGAAATTCTGCTACAGGCAAACCTGAATAAAAATCACAATATAGGCAGTTAGCATAGTCATACACAGGTCTATTAAATACAGTTAATGGAATTTTTGTTACCTAAGCTTTTTCTTCCAAGGTACATAAAGGACATTATTGAAGAAACCTGACATAAAATGAACAAAGTAAATGATTCATATGTTAAATAATTTCAAGCTATTAAAGATACATATACAGTGGTACCTCAGTTCATGAACACTTTTGTTTGCAAACAATTTGGTTTGCAAACAGAAGCGTTGGCCAAATTTGGTTTCTGTTTGCAAACTCTGCATCGGGTAACAAATGCGACAGGGCCATCTTCCCACATGCACAAAAGTGTGGCTGTCTTTTCCAAATTCATAAAATAAATTCAGTCTGTGAACTGAGGTACCACTGCATAATAGGATAAGTTATACCACCTGTCCCATGCTAGTCAATATTTAAGCTGTTTCTGGTTTTTCTATAAATAACTCTGAGTTGTTTCCAACAGTTATCTCTAAAAAAGATCTTTGCAATCTTTGACTTTTGATCACTTCCTCTGGAAAATCTTCCTAAAAATATTTTAAAACATTCTTGAGTCCAAGGGCATAATTTTTTAAAAGGCTTTGCAATAATTTGTCAAAATACTACATGTGAAAAAAGAATCAGGATTCTTTATAAAATATATTAATACATATATATAATAGATATATGACCTGAGTTTGCTTTTAAAGCTTATGCATTTTGTTCAGCACTGTCTCAAAAGCATTTTGCCATATCAATGTAGTATAAAATCATTTGTAATGACTGTAAAATTCCACTAAAGTTACGGCTAAATGTTTTAAGTTTATAAGTCCATGGTTTATAGAGTAACAGGAAAGTAAACCTATTAACCATTCAACTTTCACATGACTTTTTAGTATACATTTGGTGTATAATATTTTTTAATTCACAGAAATAAATTCAAAATTGGTGAGCAAAGCTATTTAAAAAATATTTAAGGAGTTTTGATATGACCTAAGTTTACTGAAGTACCTTCTACCTTTGTAGGTAAGAGCAAGGAATTAGTGATACAGAGACTTGGATACCAAAATGGCTTTGCAGTTCAGTTATTGGTTCCAGGATTAATTAGAAGAACAACTTCACCAGTCAGTAAAAGAAACAATGACTGCAAATTCCTGCTAGCAAAGATAAATCTATGGACAGGAAAGAGTCGACTGTCTTCCTGCAGCAATTTTTTAAAAGTTGGCCATTTGACTTAGAACCAACTTCATTCCTCCCTTATTTTAAGGGTACTGCCAGGTATGGTGACACACTTCTGTAACCCCAGAATTCAGGAGGCTGAGGCAGGAGCATCACAGCAAGTTCAAGGTCAGCCTGAACTACATAGCAAGAACTTGTCTTAAAAAAACAAAAACAAACACGCAAAAAAAAAGGGAGAGAGAAAAGGGTATCTAAGCTTTCCACCATGAGCTAGGTATATGTTTTTCAACTTAATCTCACCCAACTCATTAAGCCAAGTCTTAATTATATTGTTAACTTATATTTAACAAATTTACCTCAATTTTTTAAAAACCTCCAACTCACAAACCTTGTAAACATTTTTACCAAAGTAAAGCAAAGACTTAGAAAGAAAAATGTGGAACAGGTCACCCTCACTAACAGGGATAACTTCGCAAATGCTTTCAGTCACAATTCCTACCAGAACAAGCAGAACGATCGTTTTCCTTTGAAGAAAATCATCCGAGAAACACAATCTTTGAGAACACTGTGGACAAGAGGAAACAAATTCCCTACTTATTAATATTTGGGGATACAATAGGGCAACTTCTCTTTGAATAAAAAACTTACCAAAATATGGATTCCAATAATGATTTCTACTGTTAAAAATTGTTTAAGTATACACTAAAAGAAATGTTCAAAAACTACTAATATAATCAGTGAGATACAATTTGATGCCTTTGAAAAATAATATACATAATAAGAATATAGATTACATTCTAAATCTTACCTTTAAGAATGATTATTTTCCAAAGATAAAATTTTATCACTTCTTACAATGAATAGATACAAAAGTTGAATCATTATCATGTTAATTAAAATAATTATAATTAAATTTTCACTACCATATTAATCTTAGAAGAAATTTTATAGATCCAACTCAAAGTTTTTCATTTTACATGTGAGGAAACAATCTCAAACAAATTGTAAGGCAGGGCCAAATCAGTGGTTAGCAAGTTATATCAGTTTATACATAGTTATGTGCCTTATTTATCTGAACTATAAATTCAGAAAGTGTTTATGTATCAGTTGATGTCCCATACATCTTATTATATATCATGTTTAGCCCTATAATTTGAACTATATTGGTTAAATATGCTACACCACATAATTATGAAATGCAGAATTTGTTTCCAAAACTCCAACATAAAAACTAGATTTCTTTCTTTACAGCCATATACAACTTGATTTTATTCCTACTTGTATCAATGTATGGGTGTCATCTTTTAAGATATGTATATAAATACAATTGTATAAAAATACCACAACTTTTTTATCCATTCCTCAGATGATGGACATTTAGGGTTTTGGAACCCTGTATCATTTTTATTGTTTTTGTGTTGTTTTGTTTCTGTCCACGTTGTTGTTATTTTGTTATTGTTTTTCTATTCTCTTTAAAGTAAAAAAACACATTGTCAAAATCATCCCTCCAAAATAAATATAATTATAATTTACAGCTTCCAAATTATTAAATCAGATTAGTGTTCTTGAGTGCTTTTAAGAACTCACAAATCACAACAGTAGTTCAGTTCTCTAGACCTTGAAACTCAAAATACTATCTCATCTTCAACTTGCTTTAAGTAAAAAAGACAACATTATAATATCTAAGCTAAGCTACAAATTTTATTTTATTCTAAATTCAAAATTAAAGCAACCAAAA